GAAGTTTCGGCAAACCAGCTGTTTCGTGTGGCAGCAAAATCAACAGAGCCCATTCACTCTGGGAACTGAAATGAAACCGACATTTTGGAAACTGTAGATAAATTCCAGCGGGACCGGATGACTGAAACAATGCAAATGACTGGAAAATACTGCGTGATTCAGTAGTAATCCGGGTAGGGTATGATGACCGTCTTCACAATCCCCTTGTTTAGCAGCTGAAAACAGTTAAATGCAAGAGAAAGTAAAGTGCATGGGCAATAGCTTTAAATTATCCGTACTCCACCCTCTGTATGCAGCAGATGAGCCGATCAGTTTGATGACACAAATGTGCGACCGATATGGTATGACAATATTCTCATTTTCTCCTCGTTCTTTGCTAAACCGTCGGTAGATATCCCCTACCTCGCTTGGCAATCGGTTGTTCGTCTGTCGGACGCGACTAAGCAGGTGAGTAGTTGTTTGGTCGTGACAGCAATCTTATCCCTTCTTCATTGCAGATCAACACACATCAACCACCCAGATGGTGTGATGTAGTTTTCATTCGCACTAATTGCGCTCTAATTTCTAACATGCGAAATGCACTTACAATTTTACACGAGGTATCATCAACGGATGAAAGGCTGATCAGTGTTTCTGCCCAACACTGTACAGAAAATTCTAAATAAGTCGTCCGCTAAAATTGTTGTAGGCTTCACTCGAGCTATGGTAATTCTACGAAGTACGTCACACACTTTCGCAAAACTCTCCATACGTTCATCTCTGTAGAATAAGCAAACTTGACGAGCTGAAAGAACTTATGATGCCTCACCGCCTCATCATCACCGTCATCATCGACAGCATGTAATCAGTACTCAACTCGGATTTTTGGCTGCCGTACTTCAGAGCATCAGCAAGATGAAAAACGGTGCCATCGATTTTGTTTGTGATTAAGACTCATTCGCCGAAGCCAATCACCCGTGCATCACCAGCACACGCACTCAACATCCGAATTGAGATTTGATTGCTTGATGCGCAGCAGACATTCTACGCATTATTTCGTTACAGGGTGGCCGTGTTTGCCGGCAATGTGGCCAACAGCTCCGAGACTCCGTTTTTATTGGACTTTGTTGCTTCACAGAATCCCATGTAGCCACTTGAAACCAAAATAATTTTCAAATACTGTTTTCATTCTACTAAGAGGTTCATTGTGCAAACGAATGCAATAATAACATCCACGATAAGTTACTTAGACGCGACATTTTGCCTGACGCTTCCAGCGAAACCATTGCTTGGTATCCTGTCCAGCCTGAAGAAGGGGATAGATAACCATTGCACACTGAATATGAGATCCATGACGATTCCATTAGTGTGAATGAAAGTACGTCTCACCGTTGGAAGTTTCGCACACCACAGCGCACCATACAAAACGATCAGGTGTCTCTCAGGTTAATGGGGTATATATTTCAGCGGCGGCTATGCGTTGTACGCTAGAGTGTCTAGCGAAACAATTTAACTGGAAATCCCGGAATGTCCACTAGACTGGCATGGTCGTCAGCATGATATTCAAGTCAAATGTTACGCGGGGTATTAGGTCGTCTGTGGCTTAACTCGGAAACACCACTAGATATCTAACGTATTGTTCAACCTGATCCGGAAACTCTCCTAGGTGCAAATTATACTGAATGGGCACGCTTTCTACAAGATATCGCCACTAGGTATCTGAACCGATCATTATAAATTCTCTTGGTGACCGGATACTCAGTGTCTGATGTGATCATTCCCATTCAGTTGGTTTCTACCGCTATTAACCTAGCTCAAGTTGGAACATAGATGTTTCAAAATATTGAGGCCAATGAACTCGAGATAGATATGTATGGATATGGAAATTAGAAACCTTTTGAACAATACATATTTTCGCACGAAAAAACAAACTTAATTTTCCAAATTCGCTTGACAGTTTGTGGAACACTCCATGACAAATCTAAAAAACCAACCGTTTGCTGTATGAATAGACTCACTCGCTCCGTCGAAAAGGAAGTTTTAT